TCAGTATTTATTAATCCGTTCTTATTTCAAGACTATATTTTAAGCTCATACGATTTTGTCATGTTGCAACTATGACTACACTAAGAAAAATGTTCTAATTAAACAAAAAACCCAACCAGAATGGCATTTGTGTGTGTGTGAGGCCAAACAGAATTTGTAGTTATAACTACTTTCTGGTTACTGTAGAGATTCTATTTAGCCTCTCATCAAAATGTCATTCTGGTTGAACATTTTTGTTGATTTTGTTTATTAAAATATTTTTCTCTATGTGGCTTGTTTTAATATATTCGTTATTAACGAATAAGATAGTACAAACAAATATTGTACATTTATATTTTATGTAGACATTATTGGTTAATTATATTGAAATTTGCGCATCAATTTCCGCACTGTGTTTTAATGCTCTTATTGCCCATATATTTTATTATACTTTTCAATTTAAATAAGTTCAAATAGGCAATAATCATTCGATGACCAATGAATATATGATTCACCCTATAAATATATGCGTGTTTGAAACTTTTTTGCGATACAAGATGCGCGAATTGCGGCGGTCTTTTCGTGTTTCGAAACGACGACTGGATATTTCGGAAGTAACCTTGGAATGTTGTGAGTCTCGTTGCGACCGGTTGACCCGCGAGCCAGTACGCCTTAAGCCATATACGGAGAGTCACGGTGGCGCTAATAGGAAGTGTATCCTTGCTGTTTGATTCGTTCTCGGCCTCCGTCGGATAATTTCGAATAAAAAGTTCTACCATCTAAGGGAGTCCTAAGGACCCCGCGATCGGCCGCATCCACGAGTTCACGGCGTTCTCCATTTGCCGTATTAACGCCGTCGGTCCAAAACAGTCACCGCGAACCTTAAAATTAGTCATGCACTCGACAACGAAGGACAATGTCGATGACTCGCGCGAATATCCGGCCGATTGGACAACAACTTGGCTCCTTTGTGAATTGTCTATTTTTTTCTTTCTCTCTTTCCCGCTTGCGATGCATTGAACGAACTGCATTATTTGCATCTTTTGGATAGCTTTGGAATTATATTATATATTCGATGATACTTTAAACTTCTTTGAAATCTAGAATGACTTTCAAATTAATATCGAAAAATATAAAAGATTTTATGAGACTGCGTAGATTGTAGATATTAGAATAATTATGATTAACCGAAA